CGAGACCAATTTTTTTCGTTCCAATATTAGCAGGAACAATCGAGGGTCCACTCCAGTCAGTAATTACCAAATCCATGTATCAAGCTCTTCAGTTACCATTAGAATTACTGGATATATCTCATATGCTATTAATTGCGTGTGCCTTGGATTTGACGAAACCTTTGTCTATCAAAATAATCTATTCAAACGTATTATTGCTGATATAGGTGGTCAGGTGCGTGCTCTGGAGATATTCTACGAATTAATTTGGGATAAAGCGAAAACAAATAAATTGGAAGATATCAATTTAGTGGATATTATGCACTTACTTAAGGAAAAGCTAGATTCACGCTATGACTTTAAAACTTTTGCAAACCAAATCACTCCGGTGCTTGCAAATGCAATCTTAGAAAGATCTGTTAATGAAAATGATGGTATTTACATGGATGAATATAAAAATCAGTATGTTTCATACAAAATGTTGAAATCCCTTGGAATTTTGACGCTTGAACCAGTCGATAGTACAAGGTTCTATATACGTCTCCCATATATTTGGGTGTGACTTTTGGTAAAAAATACTGGCGATCGATCAATTTATAAATTTTGGAATTTGATGATTAATCCTGAGGAACAATTTTATTGGCAACAATGGGAAAACTTCAATGTTAATTTTTGGGCTTTGCGCATGTGCCTACTTTCAGTACTTGGATACAAAACAATAAAATTAAAGGAACTGCTAAAGGGAGCATTGTATTCAGATTTAGATATGGATGAGGATGTTGATATTCCAGATTATAATTCCATTCAAGTGCATTACCTTAGTAAACGATACCCATTCGATGATAATATTTTATATTCTAATAGTCAATCATGTGAAATTTCACATTATGACAATAATAAGATTTATAAAAATGGCGAAGATGCAGAGTGTGATAGATTTTCTTTTCTAATAATCAACCGTGGGCAACCAATGTTATTGGCATTACAAATGAAATGGCGAGACCTGGAATCAGAGAATCCACAAAAAATTCACGATAAGTTGATTAGTAACGAATATAATAAAGTTAAGGACTTCGCAAGAAATATTGGGTTGGATAACTGGCTGTTGATAATCCTGTCAAACTGTTCGAGCACATTTAACAAAACTCTACTACCAACAAGATGCGCAATTGTTGACAAAAATAATTTTACAGAGTTTTATGGAAAGATATATTCATCTTGGGCCCAATTTGCTGCTGGTAAGTTTTATAATATAGCTTTAAAGAATTCGGTGTTTATTTTCTGTTTATTCACAAAATCCTCTTTTTTAAGCTCATGACAAGATCTGTGTTAATTCAACAAAATTTTTTGAATTAAGAGTTATAGATAGAGTGGGACCAATAATTGCAAAAAGTATTATCGATGAACGTGAAAGTAGTAAAAGAAAATTTGTTGATGGCGAAGATCTATGAAAACGTACAAATTTCCCACAGATCTCTTTAGATTGTGCAGAATATTAGCAAGAATCCTATATTTTAACACAATTCAATGTACTAAATGTAATTAACGTTGTATAGCGAATTCAATATTAAATAAAGTTTTTGAAATAAGTGAAATATTGTATATAATGATATCAAAGAGGGCAGGAGTACGCGGATCCTAGGCCATTTAATGCGAGTTCCAGTATCAAGTTTATTTCTTTGCTCTCTCACTTTTACGAAAAGTACCTATAACTAATTTTTTTATACTTCTATTGCTAATTACGCGATTCTCTTCCCCACGGTCTTTTACCATACTAGATTTTCGAAATAAATTATCCCACCCGAATTTTTGAATATCTATATTATTCCTATGAGATTAAGAAATTTCGAATCTATAGTATAATTACGGAAGTATTAGCAACTAATGTAAAATATCATAATACAAAAACGATTTGCACTTATCATCACGATTCATTTTTACATAATTCCATTCTACCTCATACACAAGAAACGTCACCGGTACAATACTGTGCGGAGTTTTAAGAATTCGGATGCTTATATATATAAGAAAACTTTACGATGCACTGCACCATAATTTTGCTGTGCCATTACATGTATATCTGATACACAAGTCATGCTAAGAGAGTTTATTTTAATAACTGGTATGAAAAACAAAAGTCATGTATAGGGAAGCGGATACGTAATTATGTTCACTACGTGAATATAGTCATTAATTTTAAGCTCACTATA